AAATCATATTTTGATTGTTTATCCTTCTGTTTGCTTGCTCAGAATATTAACAAAAAAAAAACTCTTTTTACGATCAGCACAGACTAATTACATTTTTAAAGTATTCCCACTGAAATGTTACATTTTCATTTAGCAATAACTTCCTGTTTCACTATACTGTATATCACTATATGTGCTATTTATATGAGGCAGCACAAAAGGCCAACACCACAAATTAACTTATATTGTTTTGTTCGATTGATGGCGCACTCACTCAATGCGATCTGAACCATTGGCAGGCGCGTTTCCCGATTCGTTTGAGAAGTGTGAGTGCTCTGAATTGGGCTCAGGCATGGTTCAGTTGGCCGGTCCTGGCCCCGTTGGAAGAGGTGTGCCAGTGCACAGTTAAGTTGGGCTTTGGCGCGATATGCTTGTAATGGGAGTGCAAATTGCACCTGAGCCCGAAACTGAAGACACAACGTCACTTTTAGGGGACTGCTTCATATTGATTTATTAATCATTCTTAATTTTCAATGAACGCAAACTGTCGTAGTTTATTGAAGATGTAAACCCCTTTCTGCACCTTCAGCAAACCTCCTAATACCTGCAGCACGAAGACTTTTATGATAATTTATGATCTGCTCCTTAATAGTTAAGAAATAGTTTGCTCTGCTCTGTATCTTACATAATAATATTAATAATTAAAAAAATAGATCACTTCAATATACATTTGACTACCTCTATAATGGTTCATACCATTGTGAATGCATGTTTGTGCCAGAAATATGAATTCAACAGTTTGAAACCAGCAAATCTAAAGCACCAACAGACAGTGTAAGCGTTTGTTGGTGTCTGTAAAACTAGATGCTTAGTTTATATTTTATTATATACTGGCTTACATATGAAGGTTAAACAGTAATATAAAATAAAAAATGTGTGCAGTCTTTTATGGTCTTCCATAAATTGGTTCAGGAAAGCAAACATGTCTTTGTTTACTTAATATCATACATGTCTTTGATAACCACCTATAATATTCCTCAAATAAACTAGATGTAATTGAATTAAATATATACATTTGGTTCACTGAGGCATATTACAGAGCAAAACTAAAAAACTTGACCCCCCTAATAGTCAATGTATAATTCGCACATTAGTTAGGTCTGCTTCCAAATAAACTATGGTGTGGATCATTTAAAGTAGTTTAATGATCCGACCTCTATCTGACACATTTGCAGAAATCCCTAGCTTGATTTTTCCATCAATGGCGTCTGCAGTTGCTATTCAACCATCAGCCATGCTCTCCAGTAAACCACCACTAACAAACCCCACTAAAAAATGTATTGAGAGCTACAGCAAGAGTTTGTTGGTTCTTTTGAAAGCTAAGGGTTGCATGGCAGACTCTATGCCAAGGGAGCAAAAGTATTACTGTTCAATCGATGGCTCACACAGGTGTGAATGTGTTTACTTGCCAAAGGGTGGTGTTAAAGTGAACTGCACCAAACAAGAGAATCAACATCATGTTTGGTCTATAAGCAAGTAACTAACAGACTTTGCTGTAGTGAATACACCCTTATGCATTCACCACAATGGGCAAGACCAAAGAACAGAGCTGCGATTTGTATCAAGAGGTTGTTGACCTTTACAAAATGGGGCATGACTACAAGAAAACACCCAAAGCAAAAACACTAAAAATACCCATTTACACCATGAAGGCAATACTAAGAAACTCCCATCAACTAAGTTGATAATTCAGCCTGACAGATGACGTGTTTGTCTTATCACTGAAACAATTATATTTACTGCAGACAAACAATGTCCACCAACCAAAGCTGGAGAACTGCAGAAGTTAATTGAGTCTGTGTCTTAAAGTCGACATCATCACATAATGACTTAAAGTTCTGAAAGAAAAAAGCCACTACTCTCATCCAAAAACAAACTCAGGCATATTAAGTTTTACTTCCTGTTAATATTTTGAACATAAGATCAAAAGATTAAACACAGAAGACATTTTCTTCCTAGTGTTATTTGCTCATATTTACTAAGTGTGCCTACATTATCGGACAGAACAGAAGGTTGATGTCAAATCAATGATTCCAAATCAGAATTTTTTGATTTTCAAACGGTGACGTTCTCCAGGATGGAATGATGTGCCCATTTTCGTTGTGGGAAAAGCTGCGCACAAACCTCACAGGCATCTGAAGCCAAAGCTGGCAGGGCACCTGACCATCAGGTCCGAGTGGGTCCATATGGCTGCGTCTACTTTTCGCGTGTCAAAAAAACCCAAGCACATTTCTGCAGAGTAAAACCGTCAGGCAAAGCATGACTCAGAAGCGCTGCTCTGCTTGAGATTGAGAGGCTGAGAATCCTCTGGGCAGCCGGAGACCTTGAGGCTTCCAGCTTGCTGATTAATTTGTGACAGGAAGTCTCTCTAAGTGCCCTGTGTGCAATGCTTTTAATTTATATGTTAATCTGAATTCAGAGTGTAGCAGGCATTTCCAGCGTGGCTTCGTTCCAGAGTCTATCCATTCCGCCACTGAAACAATTTACAAGCATGTTTGGGAATGCAAAGCCATTGGAGATGTTGTTCTTTTTAGGACAGGTAATTTATTTTGAGGAAAATATCTCTTTCTGTACTTGATGGTGAACAAAAACAAATGAACAAAAACTTTTTTATAAAGCACTGATAAATTACAGGAGAGAAAGTTCAGGTAAAATAAAATAGTATGAGGCAGCATGATGGCGTAGTGGTTAGCACAATTACCTCACAGCAAGAAGGTCGCTGGTTTGAGCCCCGGCTGGGTATTTTGGCATTTCTGTGTGGAGTTTGCATGTTCTCACTGGGTTTCCTCCGGGTGCTCCGGTTTCCCCCACAAGTCCAAAGACATGCGGTGTAGGTGAATTTGGATAAGCTAAAATTGGCCGTAGTCTGTGTGTGTGTGTGTGTGTGTGTGAATGAGTGTAAATGGGTATGTATGGATGTCTCCAGGGATGGGTAGCAGCTGAAAGGGCATGCGCTTTTGTCATCGGTCAGTGCGATGATACGCAAACAAAAAAGGCGATGGTTGGCCACGCCTACTGATAGCATCTTTTGTGTTCTTCAAAAACCTATGGGTGATGTCACGGATACTACGTCTATATTTTTTACAGTCTATGGTCCATAACTATTTCCTACCCCTAAACCCAATCATAACAGTAAAGTCTTCCCAAAATCAGAGCGGAATACTAGTTGGATAACACTCATGTAGAAGCACACAAACCCAGCCCTAAGCTTAAATAAACGTATTACTTAATTCTGATTGGCTGATTGTAACAGATGTTGATCTAGCAACCTACTTGTCCTACTTGGTGAAATCAGGTTAGGGATTGGACCACATATCAATATTCATATATATGTCTTTTCCAGCATAGCAAACTTGCTCAGTATCCATTCAGAATTACTAAAACATTGACCCAGTTATACTATAAAACAGTGTTTCTCAACCACATTTCTGGAAGACCACCAGCTCTGCGCATTTTCCGTGTCTCCTAAAGCAAAAACGCACCTGATTCAGACCTTTAGCTCATTAGCATAGAATGAAAGACCTGTAATTGGTGTGACAGACAAAAGAGACATCCAATATATGCAGTGTTGGTGGTCTTCCAGGAATGTGGTTGAGAAACACTGCTATAAAGCATGCTTTTTTAGCTACTCATTCGACAACTGCAGATATGTTAAAATGTCAATGCAAAATTCAATGTCGTAATAACAGACTGCCTAATACATGACTCCTCTACATCAATGAAATTGTCTCTACCTTGATTACAAGCCCCAACATCAAACCTCTATTAACAAAACACTGAACGGTTTAATGTTTTAAGTTGTCATTCAGTCTGAGTTTCACACAGAGCGATGAGAAACAGCTTGGCCTGCTCAAAACCAGAATGTGAGGGAGGCTTTGAAGGCAAATTCTCACTGATATTAATGATTTACATACATTTGTATTGCATAATTTACATCTCTTTATTACTTTTTTATTAACTTTTCAAATGCAAAATTGCCACAGTCACATGTATTTCAGAGAAAACTGAACTGAAGATTTGTAGCCCAGTTCACTGGACATTTTACTTCAAAACTGCCTCCACGTCGCAAATGTTGATAAGAAATCAATGCGATATCTGCCATTAACATGCATTTTTTATGAGCCGTTAGATTTACCAGGGCTTCTTTAATCTTTATACTATTTAAACATAAAAAAACAATGTCACAGACATCTTTATCGGTTTCTGAGAAATCTGACCATGATGTTTAGCACCACTCGCTGGTCATTTCACAAATTATCTGTCATTAAATGTAGAGGCAGCAACATAATATCATTGTTGCGAAAGTATTTTTCATGAGCTTGAGTTACTGCACTTGCAATGACTAGAGTAAAACCAATGCATTTTCTTGTCAAAGAGATATTAAAATAGGAACTAAATGAAGTCTTCTAATTGTGAAACATCAATCAACTGTCCATTACTCAATGAGCAAGAATTTCAAATTAAAGAGATGAAAGCTTTGAAACAGATCATAAGACAATTAAGTTTGGAGTCTCTGTACTTACGATTAAAAGAAAATGTAACTCTTCCTGAAATCAAAACCCACTGATTTAAAGGGACAGTCATACAAACATGAAAATGACCTCATTTATTCTCTCTTATGTGAGGTTTTATATATTTATGAGATTATTACTTATGTTGAACACAAAAGAATATATTTTGAAGAATGCTGGTTGCTGCCACTCATTGAGTTCTATAGTAGAAAAAAAAATGGTACCAGCTACCAGTAATTTTCAAAATATCTTATTTTTTGTTCAACTAAAGAAACAAACTCAAATAACAAAGTAAATTATGAAAAATGCTACTTTTTTTGGTGAAATATCCCTTTATGTGCAGTTTTTGCCATTATGCCATTACGCCATTTTACCATGAAATTCTGTAATAAAAGTAATTAAAACTCAAACTGAAGAGAGAATAATGCCAGGGCCAGCAGATGTTCTTACCTGTGACCAGTTCTCTGACTTCCACATCAGAGGTTTTGCGGAGTAGTCGGACGAGCGCAGGGATTCCTCCACAGTTCTTCAGAGCGATTTTATTATCATCGTTGGCCTTGCCGTAAACAAGGTTCCTCAGGGCACCACAGGCGCTTCTGTGAACTTCAGCCATCCTGTGATCCAGCAGATCCACTAGCAACTGAATGCCACCCTGCCTCCGTATCTGAGAGAAACAGACAGATACATGATGATGGGGGATGCTATTTTCACATTTTCAAAACTTTGTGAGTTTGGGTACAAGGGTAAAACAATTGCCTTTACATGAATAGTAGCATTAACTAGTAAACTCATGACATGAAACATACATGAAAATTACTGGTGAATTGACTGATAAATGCAGGTAAGGAGCTACATGTTGCTAATGGATAAAAATAAAATAAAAAAAATAAAAACATTCTCATTCACTTTGTTATGTAATGTAGCTTATAAGAGACAAACTCTTGCTGCAGAATACATCACCAAAACACAACACTTCACTGTAGGGCTACATGATTAATTGATGGCAGTTTCATGCACATTTTGTCAGTCAAGCCGGCTCTGCAATGAGCTGTAAATTTCAGCAGCTGCTTTTAGATGGAGCAGCATTTACTGCACAGATCCATAGTTCACTGACAAGCTACGCAAAAATTGTAGATGATTTAATAGGTGCAATTCTAAAATCGAAAATAATAATTTTGTGATTTTGCAGACAGTAGCTTCTCAGTAATATATGTCTCTGTGTTGCTGCTAATGACATGAGTTTAATGCAAAGTCACTTCATAACATCTGTTGAAAGTCCCTCTGAGATCGTTTTGTAGTTGTGTGATTATTAGCCAAGCTGAATCAATAAAGGAAGTTAAATCCTCTGTTTGATTTCCTGGGTCTCTTCTTTGTGACATATCTGCAGTTTCCATGCAAAAGCATCCTCTGACCTTCGAAGAAGATTTACTACTGATCACAGTGCTGTGCTTCTCTAACAAGATGCACATGACAATCCCACAACCACACATTTCAACTACATTTGGATTTATCGTGTAGGCCTACTTCATCGCCAACTTCTTTACAAATATCAGTGTGTGTTCAGTCTTTTCCCAGTTTGACGACAAACATGATGTTTCCCATAAGATTCTAATAAAATTGCTCTGATTGTTAAAATAAACATTCAACATCTATCTATCTACCTACCTATCTATCTATCTATCTATCTATCTATCTATCTATCTATCTATCTATCTATCTATCTATCTATCTATCTATCTATCTATCTATCTATCTATCTATCTATCTATCTATCTATCTATCTATCTATCTATCTATCTATCTATCTATCTATCTATCTATCTATCTAAATATTCCATCCATCCATCCATCCATCCAGATAGACAGATAGATAGATAGATGAGGCTTTGAAAATGAATTCATATTCTCGTTGTGAACTCATTTTGAACTCTGCATTTGAATGTAACTTCAATTGATCTGGTCAGTGCGAATAGAACAGCTTTGGCCTCAACATCCAGCAAGTCATTTGAAAGTTGACCTTTCTCTTCTGACATTCAGTTGTGCTGCCTCACATAAATTAAAAAAGAAAAAAAAGACAAACCCAGGGAATTCAGTGTTAAGTCCCACTGAAACAGCTTAGCGTCAGTCCATGAGATCATTTGGAGGATAAATGAACAAACAGTAGGTGCTGAGTCCATAACCAGTGTATTTGAAAAATCAATAGTAAAGGGTGTCTGAGAATGAATCACTCTTCAGACTGTGAGGTGTGAGTAAATCTCTATCAACAGGGCTTTGCTTTTCTACAATAAAGTCAATTAAAGCCAGCCAGGATCTGAGATTGCACTAAAACAAGCCAAGCATTCCTGACAACACTGAAAAACAACACAGATTGACATTTACTCAAGCAATGCAAATTGATAACCAGTGTCATTTTAGTTTATTTATTTATTTTTTTGTATATATAGAAAAACTTATACTGACATTATTTCCAAATTGACAAAACCTTAGTAAAAAAAAAATAAATAAATAAAATAAAATCAATAAAATTATTATAATTATAATAAATAAATGAATAAAATAAAAGTAAAGTAAAAATGTATAATAATAAAATAAAAAAATTTATTCAAATTAAATTAAATAGTTTTTTTTTTTAAATGTTGTGTTGGTGTCTAAATAAAAACATAATTAGTTAAATTACCAAAATAACTAACTTAATCTGTAAAAAAAAAATTAATTAATTGAAATAAAAATAAACTTAACTTAATTAAACAAATATAAAACAAAGCCTAGCTAAACTAAAATAATTATATGAATATAATAAAATTTAAATATCAAAAGTAAAATCTAGAAAAGAAATAAATATTAATATATTATATTTCTCTATATACATCAATAACAATAACATTCAGTAGAATAATAGTAAAAAAAAATTGTAGATTTAGAATGACATAAGGCTGAATAAATAACTTTTATTTCAGTCAATCAAATTCACATTACCTTCCTGTGGTGGATGATTCTGCCACAGTTTGGTCTCTTACAGACTAATAAAAGCCAAGCCAAAAATATTTTGAACGATTTGACATAAAACCATGTGAGCTAAACTATTAAGAGAGAGCCACACCTGCGTCTGTCTGCAGATTCATCAAGCGATTGCACTATGAATTTCTAATTTCCTGTCCTGCTGCCAATTGGCACACACAATACCCTTCTGCATTGGCTTTAGAAGAGCGGTGGAGCAGTTCTGCCAGATGTGCTTCTGAACAGCAGCGTCACAACAGATCAGCAACCTGCCTTCACTTTAACAGCCGCTCCAATGGACATCACAAACACATCCAGTAGCCCAGTCAAAGAAATATTCTGATTCTTCTTCTTCTTCAAAAAATACTTCTGATTCGGGCTAAAACATATTTTAAATATATGCTAAATATTTTTTATACATTAATAAATATTAAAATTTTAAACCCGAAGGGTCAATACAATATTTATTGAAATATTGAAAATATTTAAAATTTATTTGGGCGACGCGGTGGCGCAGTAGGTAGTGCTGTCACCAGCTAGAAGGTCGCTGGTTTGAGCCTTGGCTGGGTCAGTTGGTGTTTCAGTGTGGAGTTTGCATGTTCTCCCTGCATTCGTTTGGGTTTCCTCCGGGTGCTCCGGTTTTCCCCACAGTCCAAAGGCATGTGGTACAGGTGAATTGGGTAAGCCAAATTGTACGTAGTGTATGAGTGTGAATGAGTGTGTATGGATGTTTCCCAGGGATGGTTGCGGCTTGAAGGGCATCTGCTGCATAAAAACGTGCTGGATAAGTTGCGGGTTCATTCTGCTGTGGCAATCCCAGATTAATAAAGGGACTAAGTCGACAAGAAAATGAATGAATGAATGAAATATATTTGATTTTATTCTCTATTTAACAAAATATTTCTAAATGTATTTCCAAGTGTATACAAATAGACTTTGAATGGAGAATTAAAGTATACAAACTGAAAAAAGATTCATTGGAGTTACAATTGTTTTTTAAGGTAAGCAATTCATATGGACTAAAATTAAACAAACAAATGATTACTGTTTGAGCTGGGGGATTTTTTACATGCAATTAATGTTGCATTGACAGAATAATTAACAAAAAAAAAAAAAAAACGACCCAGTGCTGGGCACCGTAATACTAACTCTGGGGGACACAAACGTGCATGGGTCCTTACGCCCGATTCACGTGGGGTATCAGCGTCAACCCTTGATGCTGAAGTTTGTTGCTAATGCGACCATCATAGCATTGCCAGCCAATGAAATTAGACCACAAATGGTTACTGTTTGAGCTGGGGGATTTGCATAAAGCAAAGTGATTGACTGACGCTTTCATTGGCGCTTGAAAATTTGAGAAATTCCCAACACAGATTGATCCACAATTCAGTTTAGCAATGCTTGACGTCATGCATTCAAAAGGAATGGGGTGCATTGATGCTGACGCAGTGTATGAATCGGTTATTAGAATTGTCCTACCTAACCTAGATATTCTGATCTCATCTTCTGTGAGTGATCTAGTATTTTTTCCAAAAGATTTTTTTCTGATCTGCTTCTGCCCTATATGATAAAAAAACGCATTTTAAATATTTGTGCTGTATTTTGTAACTGTGTGGCTCAAACATTTATTTTGCAGATAAAAAAATATATATCATTTGATAAAATGTATAATTTTTTATAAACCAAAATATATTAAAATTGATTTTAGGGCAAGAAAAAAAAATTCCTATCTTAACAATATTTGTAAGTGTCCATCATTAAAAATGAACAAATGAAGAATTGTATTTAAACTAGTTTAGAGTAAGAGTAATATACTCAATGCTCATATACAAGCTTTTTTTTATGTTTAATAATTTTAACAACAAATACAAATTTCCTTCCAATAATGTACTTATATATTAGTTTAAATACATTTTAAAAAATGTACCAAAAAAGCAAATGATCAAAAATATATTTTGGACATTTTTGGTTTACTTCAAAATGTAGTTGAAAATATACATTCTTAATAATAATATATTATTCTTACTAATTTTAAAGACATTCTTTTAATCATATTGGTTAGATTGTGCTGCATGTACAGCATGAATATTCAAACAACACCTGACAGGAAAACAGGCACGGCTCATCCCGAGAGACAGACAGACATGTGCTTCACACAAAAGTCTGCATTTCATTCATGTGCTGAGATGTGAGAACGCAGCCCCAGTACACACAACATTATATAGAGGAAGTATAATTAATTATTGTGATTGCAGGATGTTTGGAAGCTACAGATGTTTGGAAGCAACAAAACATCAGAGGATTAAAAGCAGGAACTGAGGGGATGTTGACATGCTCTGTCAAAAAAAAACAAAAAATATCTCAGTTTCACCATTCAGATTTCTCCTCAGATTCTTTTTTCTTTTCAGAATCTAAAATGCTTTGCAATTGCAATTTACATCTTGCAATTTGAAGAAAAAAAAAGTGTAGTTATGAGAACCACCCGAATAATTATAATGCTATAAATATAAAGAGAAGAGAGAAAAAAAAGAAAATCAGAAGTTTGAGACAGAATTTTTTTCCATTGCAACTTTTTTCAACTCTCAGTATTATGTTTATATCTCACAATTGTAAAAAAAAACATTTAGCAACAGTGGCTCTCTTTTATAATTGTAAAACAATAAAATC